ATAAATTATCTTTCTAGTTTTCCTTTCTGTTTTGGCAGGAAGGCCCTGGGGGCGGTGGCTCTCAGTCAACTGGGCCCAGGGTTTGAGGATGTGCTGCTGTCCAGGCCCTATGGTGCCCAGGAGATCCAGGCCAGTGTGGCAGCACAGGGGCCCCCGGGGCTGCCTCAGTCATGCTCAGGGAGTCGCATGGTGCCAGAGATCCAACCTGGGTCAGGACATCCTGGCTGGGCACCTTGAGAATGCTGACGCTCTCCCCTGGCCTCTTGGCATCTTTGTCCCTTAAAATAGGTCTCTTGGAGGCAGGAAATGCTTTGATGTTCTTTATGCATTCTGCCCATGTAACTGCAGATTTCCGTCCATTTCCACATAAAGTCAGCCTGGAAGAAGGACTCACTCCACCCATCATGCTGGCTTTGGTCTGTCTTCCACTTGCAGCGCCTCAAATCCTCTGGGTACTTCCTTTCTTGGGGTTTCCCATTTTTCCAGTATACATTTTTTTTATAATTTTTTCTTTTTTAACTCTCTCACATTCCTTTCAGATACTTTTGAGTTTTCTTAAATGATTATACCATTCGAATTACAAGTAACAGCCTCAGTTGATAACGATCTGGTTTGTCCTGATGCAACTTTGCCTTCTCTTACGTAAAAGTATGTTATTTTACTTTCACGAATATAAAAACTCTACTTTAGTGCTGTTCTCTTCTCTTCGTCATAGCGTATAAGGAGAAACAGATGAACATTTATACATTTTGTATCTTGTAAGAGATTTCTAATGCATTTTCCCTTTAAATTAGAAAAAATAAGAGATGTTGCAATCCTAAGATGCAATAAAACTGGCTTTCACAGTAGCAGCCTTTACTAGTATGATTTCTTCGTGTAGCTTTTTTTTTTGTTTTTTTTTGGTTTTTTTTGCTCTTTGGGTCACACCTGGCGATGCTCAGAGGCTATTCCTGGCTCTGCACTCAGGAATTACTCCTGGCGGTGCTCGGGGGACCATATGGGATACTGGAAATTGAACTTGGGTTGGCCGCGGGCAAGGCAAATGCCCTACCAGCTTTGCTACTGTTCCAGCCAGTGTTGCTTTGAGTTGCTGTTTATCCTCCTTTTATTTCCGTTGCAAGGACTTCCTTTAGCGTGTGAAATAAGACTATGTGTGATGAACATTCTCAATTCTTTTTTTGATGGGCACTGCACATCAGGCAGTGCTCAGTGTGGGCTCCTGGCTCTGTGCTCAGGAGTCACCCCTGGAGGTACTTGGGGGACACGATGTGGTGGCAGCAATTCGAGTCAGGGTCAGTCCCCTGCAAGGCCAGCAGCTTACCCCTGGGACTATTCTCTGTGGCCTAATGCTTAAATCTAGGACTCGCTAAGATTGCTGAAATCACAAGCATATCATATCACATGATGCATGTGAAACACATTTATGCCATATGCATGATGCATGGTGTGTGTGTGTGTGTGTGTGTGTGTGTGTGTGTGTGTGTGTCTCTGTCTGTATCTGTGCACTTGGCCTTACATACGCAAAGCAAATACTCTGCCACTAAGTCATATCCCTGGCACTGCTTTTTACTTTTGCTGGAGCTCTTTGCTCTTTGCTTCTGAGTTTGGATTCCAATTATCATTAGCCTAAAAACATCCTCTATTATTTCTCACAATGCCAATGTGCTAACAAGCTCAGTTTTGGATCAGCTGAGAATGTGCTTTTTTTTTTTTTCAAAAATAGGTTCACTAGATATACGATTCTTATTTGATAGACTTTATTCAACTATTATCTTTGATGCAAATCAGTTAATTTTAGTGAGGTTCCTTTGCATATTAGGATGCCTTGTTGTTTGTTATTTTGACCACAACTGGCTCTACTCAGGGCTTACTTCTGGTTCTGTGCTCAAGGGTTACTCGTGGTGGGGCTCAAGAGAACACATGAGGAGCTGAGGATTGAACCCAGGTCGACTGCACATAAATCAATTACCCTACCCACTATACTATCTCTCTGGCCGCCTGATTAGTCTTCAAAAAATTTATTTATTACTGTGAGGATTTTCTCTCTAGCTTACCCTTTTGGTATTTACTACAGTGTATTTGGTTCTGGATTTCTTTCTGCTTTTCCTACTCAAAATTAATTTGATTTCTTAGGCAAGCAATGTCTTTCCCAACACTAGTGAAATTTTCTGCTATTTCTTCGAATATTATTTCCTGCAACTTTCTACCTCCTTCTCTCCTGAGATCCTACTATGTGTACACTTTTAATGGGGGCTCTGTATTGATCTCTGCTCATTTTTCTACATTCTTTTCCCCCCCTGTTATTTGGTTTATAAACATTAATAAGGGTTAAGGATACCTGATTTCAACCCTTGATCTGTTTCTCTAAATGTTTACAAGTAAGATGTTAGATATTCCTCTGGATCAAGAATTCTGTGAATTTACTTTTCCCTCTCACCTATAATTAGATAACTGACTATATATTTCTATGTATCTCAACCTATTAAATCCCCAGTTGTCTTTCATATCTGTTCTATATACCTCATTAAAATAACTTTTAAACCATTTTTATTTAATCCATGGTCAACAGAATGCGATTCCTTTGCATGTGAAAATATAATACTACAAGAAGGAAATATCTCATTTACCTGAATTTTAAAATAATTCTATCCATATAATTATTGATTAGGTAAGAAATATTCATTATAGAAGAGTCTATCATCATTCGGGAAAAGAGATAGTGGGAATATTGAAAGGAAAAATATTTTGTCTTTAGCCATGCTGGATTTTACTGCAATAGTATATGTAAGATGATACATTTCATTAGGAAAATCATCTTCAGATGTAAATAAGAAGTCAGAAGAGCAACTGGACAATACAATAAATAATAAATTTAGCCAGTTTCACAGACTACATATAGGCAATTTAATGTTTAAAGATGACATATTGCTTGATTTTCTTACTTTTTTTTTGGCGTCACACCCGGTGATGCACAGGGGTTACTCCTGGCTTTTGCAGTCAGGAATTACTCCTGGTGGTGCTCAGGGGACCATCTGGGATGTTGGGAATCCAACCCAGGTTGGCCGTGTGCACGGCAAACACTGTACCCGCTGTGCTATCGCTCCAACCCCTGATTTTCTTCAGTCTTAATATTTCTATATAATACTATAAATTCACTTTCTACCTCAACTAACATTCCTATTGTGTTATTAAAGAAATAGGTATAAATTCCATTTTTTAAGGACTTATTTTCCGGAGTTTTCTTTTAAAATGTTCTCTAAAGGAGCAGATGATTTGTATATTAGCAATCCTATAAGCTGCCTTGTATTGACAAAGTACAAGTGTATCGATGTATTTCAGAAGGAAACATTACCTATTCAAAGAGTCCACTTAACTACCCAAGTTTTCCATTCAAATGTTTTCCATTTGAGTCTCTGTTAACAACTAATATTTGCCAGTCATCAGAAGTCATAATATAGGGAAGGCTTATATAATGAAAAAAAAAAAGACTTCAAAATCAGAGAGGAATACCTGCATTTACTAACCGAAAACCACTGGCTCCACCTTTTCCTGGTTGTGATGCCATAACAAATCTAACCCAGGCCATCCTCTGAAAAAGCAGCTGACTTTTATACCTAGCACAGCAATCCTGAGATTTGCATGTGAAAATGCCCCGCTCTCAAAGCACTAAAGAGAAGAATAGTGGCACACAGCCTACATGCCTCTTTCTCCTTGCCTATGAGTAAACACAGCCGGAGTCCTCCCTGGGTTATAGAACGCATTATGTAGTACAGCATTATGTAGTACAGCATTATGTAGTACAGCATTATGTAGTACATGTCGTAGCTATCACCATTCCAGTTACAGACCTCAACGTTGTAAATAATGCTGATTTTTCTCAAACCTGCATGTATATATTAAATTACAACTATGTCCTTAGCAACCCTTCTTAGAGCTTGGAGAAACATCATCAGCCTCTCCAACATCCCCATAAAAACCCAGATCCTGGAAGACAGCGATGAGATTATCCATTCTATTTCCCACTGAAGAGTTTCAGGAGATAGCGAAAGCTCCTTCTTTTCCTGATCTGACTCTCTTCCTGTCCTGTGCAACACCATACTGAACTGAAACCCCAGATACTTTGTTTCTCTGAGGGGCTGGCAGGCCTAGGTAGGAGGACTTTTACTAAGTAACACCAAGAGCCCCTATTGACACAGTCGCTCTCCAGTCTCCACAGAAATGCTCAGTCTGTACAGTAACAGTGTGAAAGCAACAACGTTGATGCCTCCCCCACCCCACCCCCTATCGGCATACCTGCAAGAGATTCAAATTTTGGCACTCTAAGGAGTGGCAAATCTGTCTCCCATGGAAACCTGCCTGTGAAAACCCACCCTTCACTATTCATTTCTTCAGGAAAGTGGTCCATTTGTTAAGAAGAGTGCGGAGAGGGAGCATAACGAGTCCTTCCCCTCTGACCAATGCTGTTCTCCACCCAGGCTCTTCAAATTTGTGGCCTCTCAGACCGGCCTTGACCCTGCCTGGTGGCCGTCAGCCAAAAATTGCCCCCAAGCAAAGCAGCAACAGGTGCGCCCGCTGAGTCCTCTAGCCCCTTACTCCATATATAAAACACTCTCCACAGGGGTTTTGATTTCGGTCTCAGCCACCCAGTCTACAGAACATGTCGCGTGGGGCTGGAGGGATAGTACAGCTGGTAGGGCATTGGTTTGCCTTTCACAGCCCACCCGAGTTCTATTCCCAGCATCCCATATTGGTCCCCCTGAGCACTGCCAGGCAAAATTCCTGAGCGCAAAGCCAGGAGTAACCCTTGTGCATCACTGGATGTGATGCAAGGAAAAGTGGGGGGGAACCCCAAAGTACAAGATAATCACCACCCCCACCACATGGGAGCGCGCGCGCGCGCGCACACACACACACACACACACACACACACACACACACCACCACTAACTTTCCCAAGCTGTGTGTGTCTACGGGCAAAGGAGAAAAACGAGTCCTCTTACCTTGATGGGAAGTAGTGAGGTCCAGGGAGGAAGTAGGGGTGATGGAAAGAGAACCGCGGTGGTGTCCCAAACAGCGTGGCCGGGTGGCCCAGGGGAGGGGGCTGGTAGACGTGCGAGTGCGGCAGGGGAGGGGCCTGGGGCACGGGTGCGCTCCGGGGACACGTGGAAACGCTGGGGTACTCCTTGGGAGGCTGGACGGTGGAGGCGGCGAATCTGGCGTGGCCGGCGCTGGCGCTGGCGCTGACCGGGATCCTGCTGCTGCTGCTGCTGTCCAGGGAGATGGGGGTGGGTCGCTTCACCGGGCGGCTGGCCCCGGAGTGCGGCCGGTGAGGGTCCGTCGGGGAGGGCCCCGCCAAGCGCTGGGGCTGGGGTGCCGGGCGCAGGGGCAGGCTGGACGGCTGGACGGCCACCGGGGCGGCGCTGGAGACGCTGGGCTGGAAGAGCGTGATGGGGCTGGGACGCTGGACCGTGGGGGTGGGCAGCTGGATGGTCGGGGGTGCGTCACCTTCGGAGAGAGAACGGCACAGGTCAGGCGCCCAGGCACTCCCTGGGCAGCGCTTCCAAAAGGCACCTCAGGAGGCCTCTGCTCGCCCTCACACCCCCCCTCTCTTCCCCACCGCGGCCTCTCTCCACTCCCCTGAGGATTTCTGGACACTCAAGTCACTCCCTCGCTCCACACGACTCCGGAAACCTTCCCACCTGGACGCAAGTAACCTTTCCATTTGGTTCACTGCAAAACTCAGACACAAAACTCTGCCCGGCGCAGAACAGGCCCTCAGTATTGGAGGGGCAGGGACCGTGCACCAGAAATAACCCCTGAATACTTGGGTCACACCCGGTGATGCTCAGGGTTTACTCCTGGCTGACACTCAAGAATCACGCCTGGTTGGGGCTGGAGTGACAGCACAGCGGGAAGGGCGTTTGCCTTGCACGCGGCTGACGTGGGTTCGATTCCCAGCATCCCATATGATGCCCCCGAGCACCAGCCAGGAGTAACTCCTGAGTGCAGAGCTAGGAGTATAATCCCTGAGCATTGCTGGGTATGACCCAAAAGCAAGGGGAAAAAAAAGAATCACACCTAGTAATGCTCATGCAACCATATAGAATGCTGGGGATCAAAGCCGGGCAAGCTGCTCGCAAAGCAAGCGCCCTACCCTTTGCCCTAGTGCTCTGACTCCTCAATAAATATTTTTTTGATGAATAAATGAACTAAATTAAAAAGCTATTGGGGCAGACTGGAGCAACAGTACAGCAGGCATGGTGCTTGCCTTAAAATCGGCTGACCTGGGTTCAATGCCTGGAATCCCCTGTGGTCCCCAGAACACCACCAGGACTAATCTGAGTGCAGAGCCAGGAGGAAGTCCTGAGCATCACCAGATGTGGTCCCAAAACCAAAGATTAAAGTTAGAGGGATTCTATGGCCATACCACCCCTGACTGCACGGAATTCATCTGCTCTTGTACATGTATGAATTCAGAAATTCAAGATGGTTATAGAGTAAAGATATGTAACAATGTAATTTCAAGCTTGAGAAATAAACCAGAAAGAAAGGGGCTGGAGCGCTAGCACAGCGGGCAGGGCATTTGCCTTGCACAAGGCCGATCCTGGTTTGATTCCCAGCATCCCATATGGTCCCCTGAGCACCGCCAGTAGTAACTCCTGAGCATCGGTGGGGTGTGACCCAAAAAGCAGAAAAAAAAAAACTGGAAAGAAAAAAAACTATCTTACCAGGAAATTAATTTCTATAATGGGACACTGAAAAGCCAGCTAAGAGGCCAGAGCAATAATACAGTGGTAGGGCATTTGCCTTGCACTCGGCTGATTCAGGTTCAATCCCTGGTATCCCATTGGGTCCCCCAAGCACCGCCAGGAGTAATTCCTGAGTGCAGAGCCAGGAGTAACCCCTGAGCATCTCTGGGTGTGACCCAAAAAGAGTAAGAAAAAAAAAAGAAAGAAAAGCCAGCTAAAGCCTGGGGGAGCTTGCTCAAAAGGCTAATGCGAGAGCTCAAGCTCGGCTGGGTCCCAGGCACAACACAGGCCCCCACTCCCCGCCCAGTGCCACAGGGTGAGACTCTGAGCACCAAGTTGGGAACAGCCCTCAGCATATCCGGGTGTGGCTCCCCAGACAAAACATTTGTAAAAGCCTGGTCAAATGAAAACTGACCTGGAGATTCTGCTACCCAGGCAGTCTGCTCAAACTAGGGGCGGGGCAAAGTGACCTGGGGAAGGATCACAGCATCCCGGTGCCCCTCACAGGAATGTTAACTCTCATGTGAAATGTGACACCACAAAACAGATCACCATTACGGTGACAAAAACAAAACAAAACAAGACAAACAAAAAACAAAAAACAAAAAACAGTTCAAGTAAATAAAAGTCAGGCTAAAATAAAGATGGCTTCTACCAGAATTCTAGAACTTAAATGATGAGAGAGAGAGAGAGAGAGAGAGAGAGAGAGAGAGAGAGAGAGTATATATAGCAGGTAGGGCATAGGCCTTGTACGCAAACCACCAGGGTTTGATCCCCAGCACCCCAAATGCTCCCTGGAGACCTACCAGGAGTGATCCCTGAATGCAGAGTCAGGAGGAAGCCCTGAACACAGCCTGGTGTGGCCCCAATACAAAATTAACAAAAAGCAAACAAAAAAATCGGAATACTAACTCTGAAACGAAAATGCAGGCAGAATTGGCATCAAAGACAGTATGGATATCTGGTGTGTGTGTGTGTGTGTGTGTGTGGTATTTACAGAGAAATCGAGGCTGTCAGCTATCAGCATTTTCAGAAACAAGAGGAGCAGAACTCAGAAGCCGACAGGCAAGGGTCAGACAAGAAAGGATTACTGAGTCTATCAAGGAAGATGAACGATCAATGGTATGGCATCAATCCTTTCTACAAGGGCCTTAGGAACTCTGACAACTGTGGGAAAATACAGATATTAGCCAGGGAGATGGGGGGAAGGCTGGTGGTTGTCATTAAAATTTTGTGAAAAAAATAGATTTTTTTTTACATGATAAAATGAAACCCCTGGAAAAATATGCCTTAAAAATCAGAGAGTTGGAGCCAGAGAGACAGGACAGCAGGTTGGGGCATTTGCTCTGCATGTGGCGATCCCTGGTATCCTGGGTCCCCTGAGCACTACCAGGAGTTAATTTCCGAGTGCACAGCCAGGAGTAACCCTGAACCTTGGTTAAATAAAAAACCAAAAGCCAAACCAAAACAATAATCATAAAGTTGAGTTTGGGGAGATGGGTCAGAGATGTGGGAGTGCATGTTTGCATGCATGAGCCCTGGTTTCCTTGACAACACTCGGTCCCCTGAGCACCACTTTGCCAGGGCGTGTGTCTCGCCATCCCTGGCAAGCACGAGGGTCAGGTGTGACCCGGTTTACCCCCCACTCCACCCAATCCCCCCCACCAGAAGGACACCAGATGGGATAGGTGGGTTCTGACATAAAAAGTGTGGGTCCCCAGGAAGGTTCCATGGCTAGGAGTGAGGCCATGAGTGTGATCCCTGAAGGGCGCCGACACGCATCAAGGGTAGCCCCAGGGCTTCAGTGCCTCAATGGACCCCAAGAGCTGCAGCAAAGAGCTGAGTCTGTATGAGCGCCGTGGGTAAGCTCCGAGAGGTTTGCAGGCAGGAATGCGGGCCCCAGTGAGGGCACTTGTGAGCACTGCAGTGGCCACTGGCCAGCACCACAACAAGAGCCTGTGTGGGTGAGACCACCCCTGGCAAGCACCAGGTGAATCAACAAAGGGAAGAGGATGAGCCCGGATGCAAATAAAAGGGTAGACAATCCACAGGAAACAGGAAGAATCCCATCCCAGTCACCTCCCATCCCAGTCAACACCCTTTGAAATATTTTCACAAAAGGATGAGAATTGGTGGCAGAAACAATCAAAGACTCTAGGAGAAGGGGGAACAAGGACTCAGTAACTTCGCCCCTCTGCCACACACACACACACACACACACACACACACACACACACACATGAACCCTCAGCTCTCTGCTGGCAGCTCTCAACTGGACCACAGAGATAACCTGGGGTACAGTGGCGCTCAGAGATGCTTTAATCCACATTTACAAGCTATAAATCTGGTCTGAGGGCGCATTCGCCTGAGAACTGCATTAAGAACAAAATAAAGATAAATATAGGTCCCAGGGAACCTTCTTCACCTGAGGGCTGAAGAGACCCTCAAAGTTAGAACTGAGAAAATGCCCCCGATGGAGGAAGCAAACGTTGTCTTTGCCTGAGCGGTGCTGGCCAATCAACAGGAACTCGCAGTTCCTGGAAGGGGAGCCCTCGGGAAGGCAGCAAGGTGAGTCTATTTTCCATCCTGTGAGGCTGAGGGTGTCTATGCCTCATGCAGCTCACAAAGCTGGTGAGAAACCAGAGAGCAGATGGTTTCCCTGAGAGATAATAAATCAAAACCCCCTAGCCTGGCATCATCCTCGCTTTGGGGGAAATCAAAGAAGTCTGAAGAACAAAACTTCTAGAACATAGAGGGAGCACTGCACTGTCGCACTGTCCTCCCGTTGTTCATCGATTTGCTCGAGCGGGCACCAGTGACGTCTCACAACAAATTGTGAGACTTGTTGTTACTGTTTTTGGCAGATCAGATACGTCACGGGGAGCTTGCCAGGCTTTCACAGCTGCAGCTACATAAGAGATTTAAAGTGAGTTTCCTAGGGATGTCGGCTAGAACTGCTTCCTAACAGTTCTCTATATGATGAAGACTACGAAATCATGAAGAGTTCCGTAAGGAACATAATGCCACTCTGGCAAGAACAAATGTAAAGTATTGGGTGGCTAGAGAGATAGCTCAATGGGCTGAGCTCGGTCTTTGCATTTAGAAACCCCGGGTTTGATTCCTGGCACCAGACTGACTCCCAGGCAACCTGAGGAACAAGTTCCAAGCACAGCATCTAGAGTAAGCCCAGAGCTAAGTGTGGTCCGAAAACCAACAAGAAGGGGAGGGAGGGAGTAAAACAGGGAGGAAAGGAAGAAAGGAAGGAAGGGAGGGAGGTATGGATGGAGGGAGGGAGGGAGGGAGGGAGGGCAGAAAGGAAGGAAGGAAGGAAGGAAGGGAGGGAGGGAGGGAGGGAGAAAGGGAGGGAGAAAGGGAGGGAGGGAGGAAGAAAAGGAGGAAGGGAAGGTTGGTTCCAAAACTGTAGGACCAGACAGTTTAACAGCAGATTAATCATCTCATCATTAACAAGATACATCTAGAAAAACAATTCCCAAGCAATGTAAGATAAGGATCTCTGTGATCTGAGATCCAAGGAAAGAATTTTTAATGACACAATATATAATGAGAAATGAGATACTTTTTTTTCTTTGAAAAGCTTTCTGCTTTCAATTTAATTACAGTTGTATATGGCTCTGAAATGGTTCCTGTCATGCTGACAGGCCCGTAGATCATATCTTGCCCCATGGAGGCAGAAACTAGACCAATACTAGAGGGGAAAAAAATTCACTTTCTACTTCTCCCATAAATGCAATCAGATTTTCACAAAATACGTGGTACGAAATGCCAGTCGACTCAAAGAGAACCACTCAGAGCCCGAGTCCTGAGGAACGAAAACATACTCCATCTCCCAGTGGGGAGAGGCAGGAGGAGGAGGGATTGGGAAACAAACGGGGTCACGAGAAGCAGCAACGTTGAACCTCGAGTAACACAGCAGACAAAAAACAACAAAGAACAAGCACGTCGACAGCAGCTGCGTTCAGCCAAGGTTGGAGGCCCAGAGCAGAGGGGACACAGGCAAATGGCCAAGGGGAGCGCTGGCTGAGCTGGGAAAGGAGCTTCTGCAACTTTGTCCTGGGCCCACACATCCCAGCCGGGGGTCGGGTCGCATGGGGGTAGGGAGATGGAGGTTGTTGGGGGGAGGGGATGGCGGTGGAGGCTTTTAAAAAAAAAGAGTGAGACTGGAGCGATAGCGCAGTGGGCAGGGCATTGGCCCTGCACGTGGCCAACCCGGGTTTGACTCCCAGCATCCCATAGGGTCCCCCAGCACTGCCAGGAGTAATTCCTGAGTGCATGAGCCAGGAGTAAACCCCTGTGAATAGTTGGGTGTGACCCAAAAAGAAAAAAAAAAAGAAAAAGAAAAAGGGCTGGACCGATAGCACAGCGGGTAGGGCGTTTGCCTTGCACGTGGCCAACCCACTGGAGTGGCCCCTGTGTGTAGCTATGTGTGACCCAAAAAGGAAAAAAAAAAAGCATCAGTTTGGGGTCCTGTGATAGCTAGACAGCTAATGGCAAATGAATAAACTATTCCTGAGAGATGCCTCTTATTTTTTGCTTTCTGGGTCACAGCTGGCAATGCACAGGGGTTACTCCTGGCTCTGTGCTCAGGAGTTACTCCTGGCGGTGCTCAGGGGACCATATGGGATGCTGGGAATCGAACCCGGGTCGGCCGCGTGCAAGGCAAATGCCCTACCCGCCGTGCTATTGCTCCAGCCCCAGAGATGCTTTTCTAAAAAAAAACAAAACAAACAAACAAACAAAAAAACCCATAGAATGTGTTCTGGGAGAATTAACCAACGACAGTCCTGAAGTAAAGTTATGAGGATAGGAGATTCTCTGTTTGGGGTTCTTTGAGGCAACAGACACGAATAAGCATCATGAAGGGAAAAGTTAGGGCTCTCTGATCCAATCAACCAGTATTTGGCAGGAAAGAAAGGACAGCATCGCCCTCCTCCAGCAGACAGAGATTGGTTTTCCTTCACAGATCAGTCTTCCTCACTACATTCCAGGACATGATGCCTTCCCCCCCATTAGCAAGACATTATTTTCTGCTGACACTAAGAAAGCAGCACTCCGAGTTCCTATTGAATTATCTCAGCCGTTTCCTGCCATTAGCTCCCTCCTGTCATGGGCTCATCCTGACCCACTGCAAAGAGCTGGGGTTTGATGCATGGAAGCTTTGCTGCCTGGACATGCACCATCCAATTTCCATCTCCAGTGCAATGTCTTCTGGTTATTCTTCTTGATTATTATTATTGTTATGATTATGAAAACTCCTTAAGCTAAGAAACACAATCGACTGAAAAGGAGGTGCACGTTTTCAAACAGATCATCATCATCATCATCATCATCATCATCAAAAAAAAAAAAAGTCATCGACGCTACAATGAACTCACCAACAGGATGAGTGATGGTGTTCTGTAGGCTGGGAATTACCACAGAGTAGGTGGGTGAGCGGTAAGGGTAGACTGTTGTAGGATTTGTAGAGATGATATTCTGTGTGGTACCAGAAAACACATTGGAAACACTTAGAGGGAAGCGTTTTCGCTTCCCTGGGCGAGGCTGGTAAACCCATCCTATAGAAGAAGATACGCTATTTTAAATTGGCACATACAGACCCCTAGGTAGTCTTTAGTTCTTATTGCCTTAACATCCTGCATGATTGTAAGTTGAAAAAAAAGTGAGGTCTAGAGAAAGTACAGTAAATAGGCCACTTGCCTTGGGCGTGGCCAAGCTAGGTTTGAGTCCCCAGAACCCTGTAGGTTCCCTTGAACCCTGCTAGGAGTTATCCCTGAGGGCAGAGCCAGGAGCATAGTCGGGTGTGGTCCCTCTCCCCACATCCCCCCCGCAAAAAATAGAGACTGGTTAAAGCAGTGTATCTCAATCTGGGGCCAAATGGTTTTCTGTACACCCCAAAGGATAGTGGGGGGGGAGGGAAGGTGCAAATCCCTAAATGGGGGTGAGGCCAAACCAGTAGGACAAGGGAGGGTCACAGGAAGGAAACAAGATCAGAAGTGTGTAAAAAAGGGAGGAAGACTGAAGTTTCTTTCCCGACTCTCTACCAATTTCTGTATGCTAGCTATACATCCACAGTGTTCCTTAGCTCCTCCCCGGGTTGTAATTCGTAATTCAGAGGAATCATAGGTGAGGTATCTTACATCCAGAGAGACCCACTGAATCTCCCAGAGAATCAACATTGGGGCATTCCATTGGAAGTTCCCAACTTTTTCCTTTGGATACAAATCAGTGGCCCAACAAGCAATAATCTAGTTCTCCCTCTTACAACACTATATTTTACAGTGAAATGGTCAAGGATGATCAGACACTATTTTAATGCCTAAATTGGGGCTACAGACTCCACGTCCACCAATCAATCCCATTTCCGCCCAAACCCGGGAGAGTGGAGTGATGGCAGGTGTGCAGAGCACTCAGAAGAGTGGCTCCCTCTAATCTCTGCCTTTGATCACCCCAGTCCCAGTACCTATCCACTCACACAGCAGAGAAGAATGGGGGGGAGGGGAACATCTCTTCCCATTCTGCACAGTCAAGCTGGTCATTGGCTGCACATTTACCCAAAGTTCATCTCTAGTCTCATTTCTGGGGAAGGCTTGGATTCTCCCCAATTAAATCATGAGGAGAACTGATTGGCCAGCTGCAAGACTGTGTCCTGACATCCACGAGCAATTAAGAAGTGAGAGTGGTGCTAATTCCAGAACTCTCACTGACCTGACATGTGCAAGTATGTACTTTTTTGTGTTTTTTTGTTTTGTTTTGTTTTTTGGCTGCTGCTATGATTTTAAACACTTCAGTGGCAAGTTTATTGGCAAAATTATAGCCTACAATTCTGGATTTTTACTTTTTTTTTAAAAATCTACACATTCAATCACAACCACATTAAAAATTTTCGAGGCCCTAATCTCTGTTAGTTGGTCTGAGACCAGAGAGCTCTCTGCTTAGTTCTACTTAAGGGAACAAATGTCCAGTATCAAATCATTCCTCTATATTAGTCATTATTCTCTTTGTTGTTCACATCGGATGGGGTGGGGTGGGGTGGGAGGGGTGGGGTTGGGGAAATCAATGTTTTTTCTGTCTCTCAATCTCAGCCTAACTTAAACTTTATCTTAGAAAACTTAAATTAGGAAGAGGCTTTGTCCATTTCATTTGATTACCAGGAAACTCCTCTCTGTGCTTTTCTTTAATCTTTTGTGCTTCATCATAATAGGGTTTCTTTTGCTCTTCGCTAAGTTTGTTCCACTCTAGCCCGAGCTGGACACTGATTTCTGCATTGTTGGCGGCTGGGTTAGCTTTGGCTAGTGCTGGCCGGTGGATCCTTGCCCAAACCATAAACGCGTTCATGGGTCGCTTCACGTGACCATTTCTGTCCTTACTGAAGGGAGTATCTGGTATTCCTATGTAGCAAAAATGAAGAAACTAAATTAACGTGTCACATACACAACCACACACACACACAGAGGCACACACACATAACACTTGGATAACGAAGTGCATCTCCATGTCTATTTATTTTTAAAATATCTGGAGAAAATACACACTTCAAAGAACTGCCAGTATCCCAGAACTCCTTGTAAACCTTGACCTTGATATTTTAACCTTAACTTAGAATGACCCTTTTTAACCCCCCCAAAAAAATAGTACTGCAGAAAATGCTAAATTGGTGATAATGTTGAAATCCAGCAAATTGCTGGCTTACTACAACTTTGAGCACTCAGTAATATTTTAATGGCTTATTTTCCATTAAAATTATTTCATTACTAGGGGACAGGAATGATGACTTAATGCTCTGATCCTAACGCCGGGCAGGTGTTTCATAATGTTTAAAGGAACTCATTTACAGACCTCTGTAGCGTCTATTCAAGTACAGATATTCGTATTTTAATACTTCTTCAGCTCCGTATCATTATGAAAGCAGACAGAACTGCAAACTCTAGATCATCAACACGAGTCCCTGATCCTGGGGTAAAAACAATACAAGCGATGCTTCTGAGAGTCACAATGCCAACTAAAATTATAAAAAGGAAATGGGCTACACTCCCATAATTCATCAAAAACAATGCTCTTATACTGATACTATGTCTTGTTTTAGGGTTACTAGACCTAAAAAAATTTTTTTACATGAAAGGATGAAGTCGGTTGAATAAAGCTTTCCTTCCTTAAAAAATAAAGTGGGGGAGAGGGGAGAAGGAAAGAAAAGCAAGCTTCAAAGTTACCAAAAGCAAAAGCAAATGGTGAGGTGGAGACAGGAGACAGAGAATTGATAAAAACACTAAAAAAAAAAAAGCATAAACAGTAAATTGATTTTAAAAAATGTATAAACAGACGTTTACATGGCATTCATTTGTGTACGGTGCTATCTGGATTAAATCTTAAATCTCTGGGGCTGGAGTGATAGAGTTGGGTAGGGCGTTTGCCTTGCACGTGGCCGACCGGGTTCGATTCCCGGCATCCCATATGGTCCCCCCCGAACACCGCCAGGAGTCATTTCTGAGCGCAGAGCCAGGAATGCTCAGAGCCCTGTGCATCGCCGGGTATGACTCAAAAAAGTACTCTTAAATCTCTTTTGGTGGTCTTGGGCGGGGGGGGGGGGGGGGGGGGGGGGGGATAAGTGTTTGTGGTTACAATAAAAATGTTTGTGGTTACTTTTGCTGTAAACTAAAGAGTTATTTGGAAATGCCTTTTCTCACTGGCAGTATTCCTACAAGTTCTTAACGGGTGGAAAGATGTTAACACTCAGGGGGCCCGGCGGCGCGATGGCCCAGCGGATGGGTGTCTGCCGGGCCCCCATCCCGGAGCCGGCCAGTGGGGTCCGGGGTCGGGCGCGGCGGGCTCCGGGGGCAGACCGCGGGCCGGTCCCCCGCCGTCCGTGCCGGGGATACCTGCGTCGGAGGGCAGCACGGTGAGCGGCACGTCTTTGGTCTCGATCTTGACCGACGGCTCCAGCAAGGACTGCATCTTGATGGGCACCGGGGTCAGGGGGACCTTGGTCAGCCGGATCAGCTCGGGGGGCGGCGGCCCCTGGAACTGGATGCGGGCCCCGGGCGGGACGGGATGGAGCGTGAGCGGGAGCCGCAGGTCCGGCGGCTGCGGCGGCGGCGGGGGCGGGGGGGCCGAAGGCGCCGGGCGGCGCGGCCAGCAGCAGCTCCTTGGCGCCGGGCACCAGCCCATTGGCCGCGGGGGGCTCGGCGGGGCCCGGGCGCCCGTCCTCGCGGCCCCGCTCGGGCTCCTCCGTCTTGATGCCGCCGCCTCCGCCTTCCGCCGCGTCGCTCGGGCCGTCGGCCGCCTCCCAGCGGCCCGGCTTCTCGTCCCCGCCGCGGCGGCCGTCGGGGGTCGCCCTGCAGGCCCGCGCCGGCCCCGGCTCGGGATGCTCAGCCTTGACGTGCGGCGCCCGGGCCGCGGCCGGGTGGGCATCGGGCCTGCAGGGGGCGCCGTCGGGCGGCGGCGGCAGCAGCAGCAGCTCGGGTCTCAGCGGCAGCAGCCGCGCCTGCGCGGGGGGTCCCGGCGGGCCCGTCGTCCCGGGCCGACGGCGGCAGCAGCAGCACCTGCTCCGTCTTCAGCTGCAGCAGGCGCCGAGCCGCGGGCTGCACGCCCGGCGCCGCGGCGTCCCCGCACGGCGAGGCCACGGCCGCAAGGGCGGCGGCGGCGCACGGCGCGGGCGGCGACCGGGGGGGCTCGGCCGCGGTCCCCCGAAAGGCGGCGGCGGCGGCGCCGTCGAGCAGCGGCGGGGGCGGCGGAGCTGGGCGCAGCGGGCGCGGCGGGACTGCCCGCGGCAGTTGGCGCGGCGGCTCCGGCCGGGCTCTCTCCATCGGGGGGCGCGGGGGGGGGAGGGGGCTCCGCGGCCCGGTCGAGGCCCGGATTGTGAGCTCAGCCGTTTGTTGGCCACCGTCCCCCCTCCCCCCTTTCGGTTAAGCCCCCTTCCCGGGCTGCGCTTCCCAGAACCCTACGCGGGGCCCCAGCGCGGCGCTTCCCGGCGCGGCCCCGTCCAATCACCGGCGCCGCGGCCTCGCCGGCCCGCCAATCACAGGCGCGTCCGCCTGCCCCGCCCGCCCTCCTCGCCCCGCTCGAGCCCGCGCCCTCGAATCGCCGGCCAAGGCGGGGCGGCGGCCCGTGTAGCCCATGTTCCCCCGCACGCACTCGGCCCTCTCTTCCGGAATTCTCTTCCAGCCGTTGCCCCAGCACCCGACAATGGCATTGCCTAGGAGACGCCGTGGTTCCACGCCCTCCGCCCTCCTGGAGATGGAGCGGTAGGTCGCCTCATCCCTACCTGGGGGGACCCCCAGAAGTCAATTACGTGCGATTTGCTGCACCCGCGGGCAAGATCGACCGGAGTGTTGAAGGTGGAGGACAAAGGGGAAAAGGAGAAAATTCTGCCACTTCATAATCCCTCTAAAGTCGATCTGGTTGGAAAGGGGAAATTAAAATTTTGATCAAACACCGATCCTGTTGCCCTCTCCCCCCCCTTTGCAAACAGCCCTAATCCTTTTCGGGTTCCCCCACGTTCCGAGTGTCCATCTTTCACTTGGATCCTACCATCATTAATAAGTCTCTTGTCTTTTTCACTCCGATTTTGTTTCTTTTGAGGTCACACCGGCGGTGCTCAGGGCTTACTCCTGGCTCTGTGTTCAGGGATCAGCCCTGGAGGTGCTCAAAGGATCCTGAGGGGATGCCAGGGTTTGAACTCAGGTTGACCACGTGCAAGGCAAACCCCCCACGCCTTGTACTATTGCTCCGGCTCTTAAGACATTCAAATCGAGGACTCAAATATTTGCTTGGTAGTCACTGAAGTTACAGTCCCTTGACGTAATGTGGAAGGAAGGATCTATGAACTCAGGGAGATAGGAATGTTAAAACGGATCTCTTATGTTCACATTTAATTATCTCTTTCCTTTTTTTTTTTTTTTTTTTGGATTCTATGGAACATTTTCTTGAAGACATTGCTAAATGCCTGAATGAGGCAGCATGCACATACTTCACAAGCTCTATGATAGCTGTCTCCTCTGGGTCTGAGATGCCAGTGGAAGGGGACACAACGATATTAGGTCCCCTTGAGTTCACCCCAGAGTGGTAATCCAAGGGTTAGGAATAATATCAGGAGATAAGGCTAAAACCATAGTACTGAGCAGCAAACACTTATAATATTGGGTCACTAGGATCGTTTCTTTATTTCCTTTATTTGCGGTGGGGGGGTTCACACCTGGTGATGCTCAGGGATTACTCCTGGGTTTGCACTCAGGAATTACTCCTGGTGGTGTTCAGGGTACCATATGGGATGCCGGGAATCAAACCTGGGTCTGCAGCGTGCAAGGCAAACGCCCTACCCGCTGTACTATAGCTTCAGCCCCGGATTGTTACTATGTTTAATAGTCATGCTTTTAGAAACAAAAACTGATGGGAAGTTTATTAATGTACTAGACTAACCAAAAGTCAAAGAGAAAACTCTTGGCCTGGTAAGCAGAAATCTGCCTTTAGATCTTCTTGAAAAGTCACACTCTTGTACCCAGTTCATACATCTAAGTCAGTCTGTGGTCTGAAGCCCCAGACCTCTGACTGACAGGCAATGATCCCTGGAGGAAGGAACCTTCCAGCCTGGCCACAAAGAAGTGCAGTGCCAGAAGGACAGTGAAGAAAGCCCTGTGCACATTTACTTGCATGAATGGATTCTAATCCCAAAGGTATGAAATGTCACCATGGTCTTGTGATCAGAAGAGGGAAGGGGTTCTTGAATGAAGTCAGGTGATGAATTTTGGTCTGAGTCTCTCTCACCTGGAGTCCAGGGATCAGAAGACCAAATCTATTGACTACTTCCCCCCAGCTCTTGAACTTGAACACTTAGGCCAAAACAGACATATTCAGGGAAGGGCAGAACTGCCTCACTGACAAATTGATACATGAGATGCAGCAAAAGCCTATGGGACCTCTAAGAACCTCTAATATGGGCTCCCCCAAATCATCAACCAGAGGGGCATCACCTCCCCAAAGACTAACGCCTCCACTGAAGACTTGAACTGTCACCACAGTAACTACTAAATGGGCTCCATTGCACACACCTTTTAGCACAGAAACTGGATCTCAAGAGGATAACGGAATGACTCAGCTATTAAGTGATGACTCCAAATGCAGCCATTATATGGGATGGGGCCAGGGTACTGTTCTAGAGTAAGTCAGAGTAGCAGCTGGCATCTTTTACACTATTTCTGATCTCATCCATCTTTGTCCCCGTTCACCATCAACCATGACCATCAAAAGCTGTTTGCTTTTGTCTGGGAGAGAAAGGAAAACATCTTCAGCTTTCCTTTAGGGTTCCACTACTCTCCTGTTCTCTGTCACAATACAGCCTGCAAAGAATTTTTGCATGTGGACATTCCACCTAATAACATGCCAGTTCATGGCCCTGACCGGACCTGGTCGAAGAGGAAGCAGCAAGTGTCCTAATGCTGTAACAAAATGCATGTGTGTGTGTGTGTGGGGGGGGGGTGGCTCACCCGTGGAAACAAACCCATGAAATCTTGAGGATTCATAAACTCAGGGGAAAAGGGCATCTCCCCCACCCCATGGCATAAACCATCCAACGGTCCACTGGTAGAGCACTGTCAGGGAGTGCCCAGGCGGGCTAGCCAGGGTATGGTCCAGTAAGAGACACCGCCCCTGGTCCCCAAAACTAGCCATCACTCTGCGGCTGTCCCCGCTCTTCACAGTGATTTGTGAGCTGGATTCCCTGCACTCCAGAAGCTCTGCAGGTTGCCCAGGGGTGGTTTGGGCTGCCAACGCCCGCTGAGGGGTGAAAGGAGAACTAGTTCTGGGGGGTTCGCAGCTCGGAGCTGGGCCAGAGTCGGAGAAACCTGGACAGAGGTGCTTTCTCTGCGCAGACGAGGCCACCCCATCCGCCGGCCCTAACCCCACCGAGCGACGGGGTCCCCTGAAGGCGGCGCTGCAAGGGGCTCACCTGCTCACTGAAGTCCGGGCTGCCAAGGCCTCCTCCACGCAGCCCAGCGGGGATGATGAACCTCGAGGGCCCCACGGCCCAGGAGCGATGCAAGCTGCTCCGTTGTCTCCATGCAATGGAAGTCCCAGGCCCCTCAAAGTCGAATCATCCCGGGTCTTCGAGAGCCGGAAGTCCGAGGTCGCCGGAAGTCCCAGCCCCCGGAAGCGGAAGTCCCAAGTCCCTGAACCTGACCATGGCGCATGCGCACACGGGTGTAGTCTTGAGGCCAGGAATCTGGGGGTGCCCCCAGGGGTTTGCAGCCCATCTTGTGGCCTCGGGGTCAGACACCTGTGAAAGTGAGGCCTCTTTAACAGGCGTAACCTCTGCAGAGGCCCGTACCTTTCCCCAGGCGGCACGGGAGGGAGCCTCATGGCCATCCTGGGCGCCATGTCCAGGTCCAGAGACGACGAAAGGGGCAGCCCAAGGCGCTCTAAGAGGCACCCAGGGCCCCACCGAGTCCAGTAAGAAGGGCATCGCCCCCCTGGTGCCGCCTCATGAGAGGGTCCTGCTGGAGATGCACGCTCACATGCCAGAGTGGGCCGATGGCGTTGGATGGCATCGACGGGACGCTCGGGCCTGGCTTCGGGCCCTGGGTGCTGCCCGGCAGGGAGGATTCACTGCGCATGCGCAGCACCTCCGCCCAGTGCCGCAGAGGGTGAGAAACGCCACTGACACCCCCCATCCCCCCCAAGGTGAGAAGACAAACTGGCCAGGTACCCTGGGGAGTCCTCTGGAAACACCACTGCTCCCAAGACAGATGTCCAGGTTGGCCAGCTGCACCGCCCCCCCCACCCCAGGCTTCCAGGCACCTGGCCAGCCAGAGAAACCCCATCCCGAAAGCCAACAGGGACGGTGTGTCATATGCCCTTCTACTTGCCACGAAGGTGACCAGCTTGGCAGGGAACACGGGCTGGGAGAGATCCCAGACCAGCTGCTTGTCAGGTCCAGAAGCAAAAATACTTTGTCTTGGGATGTCTGAATTGATTCTTTGCCCTCCCTCCTTTTTTTTTTTTCATTGCACATGCCCTGCTAGCTTTTTGTATATTGCTTATTGGTTTGAGTTTTTTTTTTAATTTATTTGGTTTGGGGTCTACGTCAGGTAATGCACAGGGGCTCTAAACTAAGGAATTACTCTCAGTGGTGTTTGGCAGACCATATGGGATGCTGAAAGTTGAACCCAGATTGGCAGCATGCAAGGCAAACACCTTACCCACTGCAGTATTGCTCTGACCCTCTGTTTTGAAATCTTTTTAGCATTTCAAGACTCCAGAAGTGTGTGTGTGTGTGTGTGTGTGTGTGTGTGTGTTTCCTATACATATATTGATTTGATGAGTATTCAGACTTTCCAAAACCTTGTTTTGTAGGGTCAGCTCCAGAGTTCTTACTGCTTGTTGGAGGGGGTGGTCAGGAGACCATATGAGGTGCAGGCCTTCTAGAGCCAGAAGTCCCAGGGCCCCTCAAAAGCATAAGTTCCAGTCCCCCCCCCCCCCGAATGAAGTCTCAGGGCCCCCATGGAACCAGACAACACGGGAATGTTTCTAGATGACCTCCTTGTCAGGTCTGGAAGCAAATACACTTTGTCTCAGGCGTCTAAATTTAGGCAAGTATCTTTTTTGTTTTTCGTTTTTTTTTTTCTTCTTAGTACATGCCCTTCTAGCTTTTGTGTATAGTGGTGTGTAGGATAACACTGTTTTGTCCTTCCTCAGGTAGCTTAGGTTTATTGGGTCACTCCCATTCTTGCCCAAACAGGTAATCACTTTTGCTCCCTAATCAGATTCTGTTAGCTTGTAAGATCAGATCCTTCTAAGGACACTGAACTTGTAT